TTCTCTTCATCACTTTGTATCAGATTAGTTTATGCAACATCGAATCACATACCCAAACCTTCCACAAGTTGTGCTTTAAAATAGTACAAGTCAACAACGGTGCATCCCATTAATCTACTTCTCTTCATCACTTTGTATCAGATTAGTTTATGCAACATCGAATCACATACCCAAACCTTCCACAAGTTGTGCTTTAAAATAGTACAAGTCAACAACGGTGCATCCCATTAATCTACAGAGAAGTTCGAGGAACTTCAGGGTTACTCCATTTTCCACAGACACGCGTCACCTTTTGGTGCATCCCATTAAAATCACTTCTTTCTACGAACGAATCCAGCTACACTCTAGAAACGCGCTTTCACCAAGACATTAATTAACTGCGGTTTAAAATAAACACGGTTTTGGCCGCATAAGGTCTTTCCGTTGCAAAAAGTGTTATGATCTAATGAGCCAAACAAACAGAACCTTCTCCCAATGCCTATAAATATAACATCATTCCTCTTCCACTCCCATCACCAAATCAATACCACACAACCAAACTTTACATAAAAACATGCAATCAACATGTTTGATCAATTCCTCACGAATCTTCTTCCATCCGTTTTCATCTTCAAAGTCATGTTGTAGCGGTGGCAGGAAAAGTTGCTGTTTATCTCCGATTAAGGCTTCGATGAGAGGTTCAGCAGATCAGAATTTCAGTGGAAGGTTGGTGGATGAGGGCATGATAACACTGAGGAAGAGGATCCATGAGATGAACATGATAGAGAGGAACTACGAGCCACCTGCAGATTGGATGGATTGGGAGAAACGCTGTTATACAAAGTATGACTCCATGATTTGTGAAGCACTGGGAGTTTTGCAGACGCAGTTGATGAATACAAGGCCTAGTTTGGCTCTTGGAGCCATGGCTTTGGTTGCAATCAGTGTTCCAACTTCTTCTGCTGTGGCTTTCTTTCATTTGGTTGAGTTCGCTAAGGCTGTTCTTGCTGGAGTTCATCCCTCCTAGACCACAACATTTTTCATTACGATTTACATCTGTTGAATAGTGGTTTGATATTTGGAAAAACCATTCAATTCATCTCAATTATAAATAATAGATTTTCATTTTACCTATATAACTCGTAATTAGTAAATGTTATGAATTGACTCTCTTTGTAACTGTGATCTCTTGCTTTTACTTGAAGAATATCTCGTCGTCATCAGATTCCTAACTCAAAAGGAAAATACACAACAAGAAAAGGGTGTTTCTTACTTTCTTTCCCATAAACAATTGATTCCATAAATCAAAAAAGCTTACTGAATCAGCCTCTATGCATGTTACTTTTATTAGTTTATTTGTTATGAAAATGATATTTCAATATCTTAGATCTCCAGCGATAGGTCGAGTGTCTTCAAAGGTAGGTTTTGAAAATGTAATACCAGATAAATTAATCGGATTCGGAACTCTGCGAATTTAGAAAACGAAAACGAAAGGAGGAATGGATTTTGCTATTTCGGAAAGCGTTTGGTTAGGTTAAGAGAAATAAAAGAAAAAGAATAACATTTAAGTTAATGCAGAAAAAAATAAAACAATTGATCAAATATAAAAGAATAACATTTCAGAAATTTTAACTTGTTCAACCACACTATTTGGTACTTTCTACAAAAATCTTTCACAAATCTCAATATTTCAATTAGACCAATTTGTCCAATTGATCAATTTAACACTTCTTCATTCGTTCATATGTAAAATTCAAAATTTAACACTGATTATACTGATTATATAGTGTTGAAAATCCAACTGAGTGAAATAAAAAAAAAACACTATATAAATATGAAAGAACCAATTAACATATTATCTTGAAAGAACCGATTAACATATTATCTTAAAGTTTTGGATAGAGAATAATGTCTTCCAATTAACAAAATTTAAATCAATTATACTTCTTTTAAAAAAAAAAAAAAAGAAGAAATTTTTTAATTAATTATGAATGGTATATATTCGTTAGGCAACCTTTTTCCTTGATAATTAAAAAAATTATAATAAATTATTAAAATACAATGACTATATGAGCAACAAAGTTATTATTTTTCTAAATCCAAATCAACATTACTCTTTTTCTCTGTCTCCCTCTTAGTTTATTATAAATAACAAATAGAGTTTTACTTATTTCATTCTTCTGTACTACTATTTTTATATCATTAAATTTTATATTAATTAGGAATGTGAAAATGGATTGAATGAGTAAATCAACTCATGGTTACATTGTTTGTGTAAGGTTGAATAGGAAAGAATTCAATTGTTTTAAACGTGACATATTTGAATTAGGATGAGGATGGGTTGATAGGTAACCCACCATAACCAGCTTTTTATCATTTTGTCATAAGTTTATGGGTTAATTTAATTTATTTGTTTGTTAAAGTTATGTGGATTTACACTTTAATTTAAACTATTTATCTGTATAATAATGATATGTAAAATAAGTGGATATTTTGATCATGTTACTATAAAATAAAAGAACAAATTTGCTTAAATTATTTTGGTTGTAGCACAAATATATAATAAATGCATTCTTAACCGAAGTGACCCAAGACCTATCATAGATTGAGTTGGATTATAAAATTTTTATTTAAAAAAAAAGAACAAATTCATATGTAATGATCCAACTTATATGAAATTATTCACTTTAACACCCTTAATATATATATATATATATATATATATATA